GCGCATTAACGAGAATTCCAAGGATGTAAAAACGATAGAAAACGTGTTTTTGGTGGTTGAACTTTGTGCCGGGACATCGGAAACCAAGCACACAAGCTCTGCATTCCTTAAGTATTTGTTGACCCTTCCTGTGGAATATCAAAATCCGGGGAGAAACCTCAGCCGATGCGGCTGCCGGGAAAGTAGGGGGAGAGTGGGGGGGGGGAAGACATGGCAAACAGCGCCGATATAAATTTGTGCGACCGTTTACACGCCCTATCCACTACGCCAACGCCGGATAAACTTGACGATTCACGCCACAGGAAGGGAGAGCAGTCACTGCGAGGATACCCACCTGCAGCAGGAATTAACGAATTACCCTAGATCGGTAATAGGCCAGCGCATATATGGGTGATCCACGGGACGGTGTCCTCACACCCTTGGATGACGAAAGTTCTACGTCAGTCAAGTAGACAGGCGGTTCCAGAGAATGCACGTTCATTCCTCTGAGATAGCTCAGTAATGATGCGGTTGGTGCGCTAGAAACAACTGATTGGGGACACAAGCAGTCTTACACGGTACACGCTTACTCGTAATGGAGATTAGAGACAGCTCTTTTTAGCTTTACAAATTTAAATCCGCCTGGAATAGCTTACAGTAGCTGACCTCTCTCATGAAATGTTAACCGAAATTTTGAAACGTGTTTCGATTAGAATTGATTACTTGTGCACAGGTATAATATTGATTATCTTTCAGCATAATCTTAGTATACTTCAGCCACACAAGGATGCCAGCTCTTGAGTGAGCTTCCTTTCAATCACATGCAAAACCCACACTCAGCCAAAGTGGCGCCCCAATTTGTTTGCATTTGTCATACTAATTGCCGATATCCTCACAAATTTTAATATATTTTATAGAATACATAAATAAAAAATATCCCAACATCTACCCGTTTGGTGGGAAATAATTTTCTGAACTTATTTAAGAGGAGAAAGTTATATTTTGGCTTGGAGAAGTTTTTAAGCAAGAGACTGAAATGTTCACTTATGGAGCATGGTATTTGCTCGTTTATTAATACTGCTTATTCTGTATACAACATGATCCGCATTCATTGCAAGAGTTCATGACTTCTAAACAATATTTTTCCTAATAACGAAAGAAAACGCAAGATTTTCCTTCCGACAGAAGCATACAAAGGTAGTTTGGAAACCCTAATCGTACGTACTACTAGAGGTCGGATTTCGAATTATTCGGAGAACAAAAAGATTCCAAAGGAAAAGGATTATCCTTCACATTGTATGAAATTTAAAGATTTAAACTGCAACAGAGTAACTTTTTACTACAAAAATAGCATTTTTGTGCATGTTTCAATAACCCATATTTGGATTTGTAAGGATGTCAAAAATAAATGAACGAAATACATACTAAACAAGTCGTCATTTTCTGCCTACTAGTTTTTTAAGGTAGCCGGAAGGAGGCTCACTCAAAATCCGGCCTTCTCACGTGACTGAAACACATTGGGATTCTGCTGCAAAATAGCTAGTACTACAAACACGCCTAATTAATCCCTTTTAATCAAGAATGCAATTTAGAATCTCGGTTGATATTTCATGAGGTAGGAAAAATACGTTGAAACGCCAGGGAATTAGAAAAGGGGGCTATCTTCAAGTGATGGACTTCCCGCCATATAATTATCGGGTACTCACCATCAGTGGGTACAGTGAAAACCTCAGTCATGGTGCCACCGGCGACATCCTTGGAGTCGATTGCAGCCTCACAGTCCGCCAGACTCCAAGTGCGTACAGTTCCGTCCCAGCTGGCGGTTACTAGTTCGAGACCGCCATAGAACTCCAGCCCCGGATTGAACTCAAGGCTGCTGACCGGAGCCGTGTGTCCGGTGAGAACTGTCAAAAGCAGTCCCGTCTTCACGGACCACACGTAGGCTTCGAAAGCGTCCAATGCCCCCGCTGCGGCCAGTTCACCTACGGGGTCTGCAGCCAGGGAAGCGAGTTGAACACCTCGGTTAGGAACTGACATCGTTCGAAAATTTCGATACCTAAATAGAAGG